GCATGGCCACCCCCCCCAGGGGGGGGTGATTTCTTGCTTTTTGTCTCTCTGCTTCTCTCTGTCTCTCTGGTGAGCACACATATCCTATAGCAAAGAAATCTAACCAAAAAAAAAGAAAAAAAGAAAGAAAGAAAGAAAGAAAGAAAGAAAGAAAGAAAGAAAGAAAGAAAGAAAGAAAGAAAGAAAGAAAGAAAAGAAAGAAAGAAAGAAAGAAAGAAGGAAAGAAAGAAAGGAAGGAAGGAAGGAAGGAAGGAAGGAAGGAAGGAAGGAAGGAAGGAAGGAAAACAAAACACTCTTCTCTGTCTTCCTCCCCTCTATTCTCATTAAAAGAGAGAGAGAGAGAGAGAGACTAGAAAACAGTATTCTCCAGAAAACCAGTGTATTATATGCAAATAATAGTATATTTTTCTGCAGAGTTTATGGGCAGCTAATCATCCCTATTAGACATCAAATTTCTTCTGGAATTTTTATATATGCTTCATCTTATTACTGCAGACAGAAACACAATAAACCTGTAGGCAGTCTATAAGAACATCACTAAAACACATCCGATCGGACAAAGCGTTTGTCCAGTTTGCCACAGCCCCTACCTATGACTGCATTTTGCAGCAAGAACCACCCCCAACCATGACTGCATTTTGCAGCAAGAACCACCCCAACCCCCTACTCTCCCCACACCCAAAGGTACCCAGCCTGCAGAGAACTACCCAGACCACATCTGTAGTCTTGGTTGGACGAGATTTCAGTTGGGGGAACTAGCAGGTCTCTGCCTCTGCATGCTGACAGCGGCTTTCCTGGAGATTCTTGTCTGTCAAGAACTCTGTACGCGGTTGGTCTTGGTTCCCCTGGAGATGACTTATCACCTGTTGCACCTTCAAGAAATGGCAGCGAGTCCGTTGCTTCTATCTGTCTAGCTGAGCCTAGCAGACAGCAGTGTGGCTCTCACTGACAAGGGACAGTGTATTGCCGTTAAAAACAGACTACACAGCCCGGTCTGTGCAAGGCTTCGGGGCATATTTTTATATTTCGATTACAGAATTCAAAGAAACTAATTCTATAGTAATAAAGGAAAAGCCATGCTGTGTTTTATTTTATATGTTAGGTCCCTTTTGCTGTTTCCTGGCTCGTTTTTCCTTAGTTTTGTCAAGCTACAGCAAGGTCTCTGCACCTGAGAACTTTCTTCTCTTTTTTTTTTTTAAGAGAGATTTTTTGCTGTAGGGCACATGCACTTGCCAGAGAGACAGAGAGATGGAAAGCGAGAAATCACCCCCCCCAGGGCAGATGGACACGCCACAATCCCTTCTCCTCCATTCTCCTGAGATTTTGGGCACACACACACACACACACACACACACGTGCACCTGGGATGAGTTTTAACCGCCAGGTCCGGGACTCAAACTGCTACACTAGAGAACTTTTATGAGCATGACTCACCCATGGCACAAGTTAGTTTTGTGCCTCATGTGAGGTGAAAGATGCAAGAGAAAGAGAAAGGTGAGTATCACAAAGACTTTTTGAAAGCCTTATAAGAATGTTTTAACGAAATTTTCTTCTTTGCAAATACTGATTTTAAAAGTTTACTTATTTCGTCCAGCAGCAAGAGATTCGGAGAGACAGAGTACCTCAACGGGGTCTTGATGCAGTGGCCCACTCCATTTCAGCCAACCTTTGCTCAGGGCATTTGTGTGCCCCGCACACCCAGGGAGGTTTCAGGATGTAACTGGGCACCTTCCCGTGTGGCTCAGTCTCACACAGCACCCCAGTTTTCTGCAGTGCCACTGCCTGGCATCCATAAAGTGCATATATATATTTTTTTTTGAGAAGTTTTTGCTGCAGGGCGTGCATGCACTCACCAGAAAGACAGAGAGAGACAGAGAGACAGAAAGCGAGAAATCAGTCTCGGGGTGGGGGGGGATGGCCACACCACAATCCCTTCTCCTCCATTTTCCTCTCAGGATCTTGGGCACGCAAGCACGCGCACCTGGTATGAGTTTAAGCCACCAGGTCCAGGACTCGAACTGCAGTCGACTATATGGGAGTCCAGTGACATAGCTATTATGCTAACTGCTGGTCCCAAGTACCAGTATTTTTAAAAGAACACCATTAGAGTCAATCGCATCATTCTCAGTCATAAAGATAAAGGCTATCTTATCTAAAGTTTTCCACATTCATTTACAGTTAATTCCTTAATTTTGCTTGAAGTGAACTCTCTACTCTGTTTCCTTGATTATGCAAGTGAGCTGATTATGCACCTAAGATGGAGGTAAATATGGGAATTATTATAGGACCACCATCGCTTACAGGCTATACCTCAAGTTGTGTGTAGAATAACAAAGGGAATATGAAAAAATATATATTTTTCTGGTCTGCTCTGGATTCAGATTTAGCATCCCTAGGCTTCATTTTTATTACTGAATGTCTGAATCTTAATCCATTTTAGAAATCAACCTGGGTTCTTAGTCCAGATGTGAAAGGAAATTTGATTTCACTTTGAAACAAGGCTACAGACAATGGAAAGCCAGAAAACAGTGAGACAAAATACATCAAATCATTACAGCAAAACCTCATTTATTAAAAAGCTAGTCATCAGGCCAGCTGGTAGCATGGTTGTTAAGGTGGCTAGATCCCACGTGGCCCACTGCTCAGTTCAAGTATGGGACTGAAAACCATGCCAGGCATGTGTGTATGCACGCCCCACATCCCAGAAGTAGGGAGAAATGGAGAAGGGGTCGTGGTGTGATGATTCCCCTTAGGGGTGCTTTCTCACTTTGGCTCCTTTCCCCTCTCTCTGTTACTCTCCAGCAAGCGCAGGGCACATGTACCCTCTGTTAAAAAAAAAAAAAAAGCCACTAATGAAGAATATGTGATAGTTTAGAAAGATGCAAAGCCAAAGTGTACCTTTGGCCTAACTGTGTAAGCGTTTGTGAAATCAATACTAATAGAAAATGTACTCGAGAGACTGAAACTTCTGAAGAAACGGTTTCCAGTATCCTTAAATAATTTTAGACATTTACACGACTGCAATGTTAGCACTGTAAATTACATTTACAATAGTTCAAAATAAATCTTATCCATAACTTACACCCCATCTTGGGCCTCTACTAAGTCATATTCCTCAGCCTACTTTGAGGATTTACTGTAGTGATGAACATAGTCTTTCATTTTAAAAATGAAAATGAACTTCAAACGAAAATGAAAACTTTTTCCCCCCTACATCACATTGCCCTTTCCTACTAATCTTCTTTAAGCAAGGCAGGTTGTTCTGGTTGAATAGAACCAGTAGAAATATCCTGCCTGGGTTCAAATCCCCCTGCTACCATTTGGGCAAGTTCTTTATGGCTTTGGTGCCTTGATTTCTTTGTATGAGAGAATGGGAAAGGTCACACTTGAACCATTTAAAAAACTATAAAGTACAGCAAACAGTGCCTGGCCCCTTAAAAATTCTATGCATTACAAGTCATGGAGGCAAGTCACCCCCAGGACATCACTGAGCAAAGCTTCTACAACATGGTGAACATTTTAGAACACACGGGGTTTTTCAGCTCCTCTTTTTTCCAGGCTCAAGGGCATATTTCTCACCGCAGTGCATCACCACCTTTCTGATACTTCGTACTGCGTCCTCCTTTCTTCTGGCCTCCAGCCACACAACCTAGCCTGCCAGGTACTTCTGGTTAATTATGCATAAGCTTTATCCAAGCCACCCCCTCCGCGTCTCTGGTCTTCATCCTCTTTCCAGTGCTAGCAGGCACCTCCTCCACTATGTTCAGCTCTTTATTAACAGCTTTGCTTCGGAACCCCTTCTTAATAAGTTCCTCGATCATTAGAGGCTTTCTGAATCGCCTGGTCATCATCTCAAATTTTTCATTAAAATGTGGAGTGTGAATAGCGGGTCCTGCGCTGTCGGACTCCCGAGTTCCAAATGAAAGTCCCACTTACAGACACGAGAACCAGAAGAGGAACGAGCCGCAGCTCCACGGGCTGGCGAGCAGGAACCGAGGCCAGTTCAGGGGCGGTTCGTTCGGACAGGACAAGGGTAAGGGAAATGAGAGGATGGTGACGCACCTGAATAAGTCTGCTAGACGACAGGAGATACGCCAAGGCTGCGTAGAGGCGGACACACACGGACACACACACACACACACACACACACGCTCGCGCGGAAAGATGACGGGAGGAGCGGGGCAGCCCCAGGTGTCTGACATTGCCATGGCCCCGATTTGGACACGGTCTCAAAGCCCCCTGGTTTCCGGAGCGCCCTCCTCCCGGCGGCCTCCGGAGATTACTGGAGGCTCATCCCTCCGCCAGCTCCGCTCGGGCGCGCCAGGCGCCCTCCCCTCCTCCCCGGCCGCAGCTCTCCGCCCCCTGCGAACGCCGCTCCCCAGTGTCCTCTAGAACGCCGGCGTGGCTGTCGGGTTTCGAACCCCAGCGCCGACCCTCGCCCTCGGTGCGTGCGG